AGTAACGAGAAAAAAACGACTAAAATGCTTCTGATAATTCATTCCTTACTTGTTTTAACAAAATTGACTTGTTGGTAAGTAATTTGTTTCATACATCAACGCAAACTATAATTAATACAAATAAAATATATAATTATAATGTCTCCTTTGTAATACAAATTTTTAAACTGTTACAGATAGCTTTTATTTAGCCTCCCATATTTGAAATCTTTCCCTGTTCTTTGTTCAAATAATTTTTAATATGTTTTGAAAACTAATGTATAAATCATAAAAATCGCATTGTGTTGATTTTTTATATAATCAAACCTTATTACATCTCGTGTTTTATAATGTTGCATTTTAAATTGAAAACTATCCTCAAAATAATTTCTTCATCTAAAAATTAACTTGAATTCTGTATAAACATTTAAAGCATTTGTCGAAATGTATTTGATATATTTAAAATATTTATTATTGGGGGAAATTTTATCTCTTATAGTTAATATTCCTATACTATTTATGTTGTTTGTATATATTATATTTATATATCTTGATATCTATTATCACAGTAATTACTTAAGTTGAAAGGTAATATCACCAGATCGCATAACTGACACTAGGATACTGTATCAGATCATCATCAATCTAATCAGTTTTTGTGTACATTTTCTTATATTAAATGTTAAATTTATCAATCTTGCAATTAGATCAATTATGATAAAACAAAAATAATATAGATAATACATAAAATTTGATTTCACCTGACAAACAAATTTAAAACAACGCTGAATTTATGATTTTTGATATGATACGAAATACAGATTCTAGATAAATATCTTATGAATATACTTGGAAAAGATATTAAAACTGAACCGATAAAAACCGCAATCTATAATTTGATTATGTAATTCATCGAGATTGTAAAACAATGTTATTTTGGATTTACTGACCAATTTTGTCGTAAATTTATTTATTAGTTGATTAGAAATTTGGAATGTAATTTCAAAATATACAAAAAAAAATTACAACATTCTACAATCCCTAAATTGTTGGATTGTAACACCTGACAATCTCCCTAGTTTTAAGAAACTTATTATGTCTATCAAGGTTTGTCTTACTTATCACATTACATTTTTATAAAAGAATACAAAATATTTTAAGGATGAGTGTCATATCTTATTACTAAAAATGTTTTATGTTTTTGAGATCTTGAATCAAAATTATTGTTTTGACGAGCTGTATCTTAAAATTTCGACCTGAATTGCGTTGTTTTGAGCAGGGGGACAAAGTGATATCATACATTTGGCCGATTTTCATTTGCAATATTAATATTCTCTTCTTTTCAAATTTAATGTATATTATGGCAAAGTACTTTCTATCACAATCAGGACATTTGTACCCTCTAAAAAAGCAGAACCATATTACCATTTTCTTAATCATTTCCCATTTTATATTTCACAATTTACAGAGTAAAGTAATACAATACTAATTTTTTGTATCGCCTTTCTGTAATAATGCTTGGAGGATTTAAAATTTATCATGTGTTATCTCTTTAATAATAAAATTTGGTAAATGATATCTTGTTCATAATTTTGTAGTGATCAGAGTTAAATCAATTTTTTTTTACTTATCATTCAACTTCCCGTAGGGTGAGTTATAATAATCGCAAAAAAATCGAAAATGAAAATTTTTATATATCCCTACGTTTCAAGGGTTTCTGAATATTTTGGCATACCTTAAAAAAATTGATGTATGTGTGACGATTTCGGGAACACGGATCAACCGCTTTGAATAATTCAGAAAATTTTCGAATCGTATTGATAAGGAGACGTGCTGATTAGTTTTCGGCGAAGGCAGGAAAAAATGGATGTGTGTGTGTGTGCGCGGATACAAATTTTCGTCGACGGTTTCGCGAACGCCGATCAACCGAGTTGAATAATTTAAAAAACATTCGATTCGTGTTGATAAGGAAAAGTGCTGATTAGTTTTTGGCGAAGGCAGGTCTAGCCGTTCCGAAGATACGGGGCTAAAAGTGCCAAAAACGGTAACTCAATTTTTAAGAGAACGGAGCGTCCGATTTTAATAATTTAAAAAACATTTTATTTGTATTGACAAGATGAACAACTGTTCAAATTTTTGGGAAGGCAGGTCCAGCGATTAACAATGTTCCGTACCAAGATTTTTAGTTACCGCACGGGAAGTTCCAGCAACTTGCCTTAAGGCACGATGCCATGCACCTCACTAGTTACAGATGCAATTCTAAACAAAATCTAGGGAGATTCATATAGTTTTGCCTCCTCCACAATTCACATATATTTGCCACTTAATTACTAACCAGCAATACGAAAAGTTTTATTTCAACTTCAAATATAAGTATTTTATCAAATTAACAAAATTATAATGGAAATTATGCCATCCGAGATCTCATCGTTGGATGAAATCCTTAATCTCTATACTAAATCGAACATTTCGAAAAAATGTTTAAAATTTTGTTTATTTTTTGGAATCTGCAAGAAGAGCGCGTATTTTAGCAATAAAAAAATTCACAAAATTCGGACAAATTTTAAATATGGTTCAGATCAGTTGACCCATATTTTACATATCAACTTTCCGGTATACGATCTTTACTTAATTCATACTTCTCAGTATAAAACTCATATTATACAACTAATTATAGTTTGCAAGCTTTAATAACTTGCTTGTATTAATTGTATATTATTAATACTTGTTTTGTGAGGCAAGAATTAATACTAAAACTGCAATTCTACTCATTGTATTGATAGTATCACTTAAGATGTAGTATTAGAGTAAAAAATACCCAAGTTAACTGCCGTCCTTCAACACATTGTTCTTGTGGCATTAAAAATGCAAATGCAAATAAAATGCATTATTGCTAGTTAACGATGTACATAAATTAATAATGATAATAAACGACAATCTATCAAGCAGCTAAATTGCAATATGCAATGAGTTGCATATCGTTGTAGTTCTGTTCTGTTAAATGGTTTGGAAAAGACCTACAACGGCGACGCGACGATTAGGTTGCACAATAATGAAGCGCTGACACTTTTAGCTTTTTTCTAGAACGTCTCTTAAGTAGACATTTAACAAATGATACATTTTAAAATGATATTTAGGATACAAAAATATGTAGATGTATTACTGAAGAATAAAGTCTTGGGAATATACGAGAAAGCTTTCACTAACGAGCTTGTTAAAAAAAACGTGTTATGTATATGCTTTTGTGTGGCAAATTGGTAAACTTTTTAATATTTTTTCCCTTTTTTTTAATTTTATTGGCCTCCGCTTTACAGCATTTTTAGCCACATACATTATTCATTTTATTCTTTATCATATATTTTTTCCCTTTATATCACATATTGATATATCTAATGTAATGAAATCAGAATCAGTATAAGTTAAATAATTTACTATATAAAAATAGAGTAAACTGCTTTATTGTACATTTAGTTAATTACTAAATATATCAATAGATTCAAACATATTGAGACCAGGTGTGTCCCATCACTCAGCTAAAAGAAATAGGGTAAGTTTTAGAAATCGGAAAAAATCGAAAATGAAAATTTTGATATATCTTTACGTTTCAAAGGTTTCTAAATATTTTGGAATACCTTAAAAAATGGATGTATGTGTGCGTGTGCGTGTGCGGATACAAATTTTCGTCGACGATTTCGGAAACACGAATCAACCGCTTTGAATAATTCAAAAAACATTCGATTCGTATTGATAAAAAGACGTGCTGATTAGTTTTCGGCGAAGGCAGGTCTAGCCGTTCCGAAGATAGGGGGCAAAAATGGTAACTCAGTTTTTAAAAGAACGGAGCGTCCGATTTTAATAATTCAAAAAACATTTTACTTGTATTGACAAGATGAAGAACTGACTAAATTTATGGGAAGGCAGGTCCAGCGGTTATGGAATCTCAATAAAAATAAGTTAAGAAAATGTCATTTGTCGGTCAAAAATGTTTGTTGGACATATGTGCATCAAATTATCAGAGATTTTAATAATGTGTACACATTTTGAGTAATTTTTTTTTGGGTTCCGTACCAAGATTTTTAATTATGCTACGGGAAGTTTAAGCAATTTGCATCAAGGCACAATTCCATGCAGCCCACTAGTTAATTATTCAATTCAAAAACACAGATTTATTAGTATAACAGGTACAAAAGTGAGATTATACATACCAGACCAGAAGAAAAACTAAAACTAACACACAACTAATGCAACTAATAAATCCATTCGAATTACGAATTGTTGAACCACAAATAAATTTATTGAAAAGAACTTTGTAAAAATACTGTTTAAAAACATTTTTGAATATTTTTATTTGTAGATCTGACTTTATCCTTTACCCCTGACTCCTCATCCTCCATAACTACATTCCAATATGTCTTTGATTTTGTTAGTTATCCACGTGTTTTCTCGTGCTAATATAACCTCAATATTCAAGATTGTTTTCATACAGTTAATATTTTTATAGTGTTTTTTTATAAATTCATTTATTTGTGTTCCTATTAGTGCGAATGGATGTTTTTAAATAGATTAGTTGCATTAGTTGTGTTTGAGTTTCAGTTTTTCTCCTAATCTGGTATGTATTTTGTACTTGTTATACTTATAAATCTGTATTTTAGTATTAAATAATTAAAAAATTGATCAGCTGAATGATGAGACACGTCTGGTCCCCAAACGTTTAAACCAAAATACATTTTTTTTCATTTCGACGCATTGGCTGTTTTACTTCATATCAATATGTTTCAATGTTTCAACATCACATGTATATATATATATATATATATATATATATATCTGTGTGTGCGTGTATGTATAGTAAGTTCAGTTAATGTCCTCGTACAACCCAATATTCATTAATAAAACCACACGTGAATAATAATCATCTTACGTAATTCATTTCAATTGTATGCTATTTTAAATATAAATTAAAGTGTATCTATTATACTATTACATAAACGACATTGTAATAAAATTTTCTTTGTTTTCAGCGAAAATCGGTATATTCTACACAATATTCTACGGAGTATTGGCAGCATTAGTGGCAATATGCATGTGGGTGTTCTTCCAGACGTTAGATCCTCGTATACCAAAATGGCAATTAGACGAAAGTATCATAGGAACGAATCCAGGCCTTGGCTTCAGGCCTTTGCCGCCCGATGAGAACATAGAAAGCACGCTCATCTGGTACAAGGGTACCGATTTAGACAACTACAGTCGATGGACCAAATCCCTTTCAGAGTTCTTACAATGTGAGTAGAAAATACCCTTTGTTTATTTTTAGAGAAATAATACAAGCTCACTATTAGAAAATCAGGCAAACTCGTTATAATAGATTGAACCATATGTATTTATTCATAACCTTCTTATCTATAAACCTTCAAATCAGTTTTAATGCTGTCAAGAAACAAGGAATTCTTGTCGAGTTGGTTTTCGTCAGATATTTTTGACGGAGTTTTTTTTTAACCCTTTCGAGTCCTTTGTGTACCGGTGTCGCCTATAGACGACATCCAGTGTGTCAACTTTTGCTTGAAGAAGTATCACGTTAAATTATTAAAAATTATAATTTGTTTTCTTCTTGTGTTATATTATAACCTGAAAATCTGTTAAATCTTTTATAGTTTTGTGATCTATAAAATAAGCTTTTTAATATTGTTATGAGTTATGACTCCAAAATGTCTATTGTCATAAATATAACATATCGATGCTATGTAGAGGTTTTTAATTTGCTGACGAGGTGAATTTGAAAGTAATATTATTGATTTTTCAAAGTGATATTTGAGAAGAAAGGCATCAATTCATAGTGGAAATATTATCAGTAATTCATAGAAAATAGTATTAAACGCACTATATTGATCGCATAGGTATTAAGAATAAGACAAAAAAGTGCTTATATTAGACTAACATTTAGATATCACTCCGAGAATAACTTATAATAATTTATGTGATTAGAAGGTAAATGCAGCAGATGGCTAAGATTATATTGCTTTTGTCTGTAATTGAAAAACGAGTTTAAAACATCATGAAAATTAAGTTAAATTCATATAATTTTCATTAAGTCGTATATAGAAAGAAACGAATGTTGGATAATCTCCCATTTCAAGCCGATCTGTGCAAGTCAAAATCTAGAACTAGACAATAGAACAAACCGCTCTTAACAAAATCAGCTTAAAAATGTAAGTTTTTTTTCTGGTATTTACGCAATTTATTAATTTTTTATAGAGTAGGTTATAGTAATCGTCCAAAAGTCGAAAATGAAAATTGTATGGATACAATTTTTCGTCGGATCAACCGAATTGAATTTTAAAAAAAAACATTGGATTCCTATAGATGGGGTCTAAAATTTTCAAATAAAAAATAAAAAAAAAAATCAAAAATTTCAGTTTAAAAAAAAATTCAAGTTTTCAAAATTTGTTTTTTTTTTCAGAAAATATCAGTATTCTCTTTTTTTAAAAATGCAATTTTTTTTATTTTATCAATGTTTTCAAAATTCACCATGATATTCAAAAAATTCAGAATTCTCAAAAAAAATCTAAGTTTTCTTATCTGAGCTTTTGAAACCTTTAAATATGAAAACTTTAAATTTCGGTACGGGAAGTTCTAGCAATTTGCCTTAACGCACAATCCCATGCACAACTAGTTTGATTTATAATTTATTTTAAACAACTTGGATTTAAATATGATTCAAAATTTGTAACTACCAAAATGAAATTATGTTGTACCAAAAATAAATGAATATTTCCACACTAATATCGTACGTAAATTGTCATAGCAAATTGCGGTGAAGAGCTGATCTACAAATAGCTGATCGTAGACAGAATAGTAACGCAAAATACGTCATATTCTGTGCGTCATCAAAAGTTTATGACGTACCGATTTATTGCTATTTTCGTTTGCTAAAAATACTTTAAATTTAATATGTTACACTTTGCCTTCACTCATAACTTGGTATTGGCTTTAGCACTTTGCTGTAATCTCAGCGGTTTAAATCAAATTCTTTTTAAATGGATCACTTTACAATTTGATTATAAGATTACAAAACAATTTCATCAAATACAATTGTTTGACTGGCAAATTTTGTAAATTTTATTACAAGTTTCGTAACCGAAGCAAAGACACAGTTAACAGGAGAAAAGATAAAATAAATTGTGGGAAAATAAAAAATAAATTGTGGGATCGTGTTTTCTTTATTTCAAACACTTTTTTTTGACACACTGAAGCCAAAGAAATTGTTGGAAAATAGGTTCTAATTTCACAACACCGAATTGGTGTAATAGAGAATTTTAATAGAGTATGTTAAACCCTGTTTGCAAAAGGTATTAGACTGATCTTTCAATTAACTTGCTTATCAGTAACAATTTTCTCAAATAATAGAAATTGAAATATAATAGATAGATTGTTGTAAAAATTCATTTTATAAGATCTAATTATTCGTCGTTTCTATTTGAAGTCAGTTGTAGCTTACTACAATATTTAAAAAATGCTCCAAAATATGAATCAAGCAGTAACCTACCATTTATATATGTGACACCATTATAACAGTTATTCTTACTTACATACAGCTTCTGTTTTGAATAATATATGGTTATCAAAACAAACTTCTGTGCGACGTAATATAATATTCAAATACATCTTATGTCCTCAAATCCTACGACTTTCAAGAATTGTGCATGATAATGGCTTTAAAAAAGGAATTACAAGAAAAATATTACCATAGCGAAACTAGTTTCAAAACTGGTTTCGTGCAGAATATTTACATAAGTTACTGTCTTGTCTGGTTCAGAAGAAATATAAATCATTAAACATATAAAACGCATACTAGGATTTCAATATCAATTGTCTATAAATATCGGAATATTAATATAGTTGTACTTACAAATGAAACAATGTTAAAATGTGTTTCATTCGTAATGTAATATTATCAAGATTTTTCCAAGACCATCGAATTTGCTGAACAAATGAATTTGAATAAAGATAGAGTAGAGCAGTGCTTAAAGGACCGCAAGTATAAAGGTCCAACAAAGATATCTCAAAAAAAGTAAAGTTAAAAAATTTTAACAATCATATTTGAAATTAGAGGGAAAACGATGTAGCTCTAAATAGGGAAATAAATGACAATGTTTGAAAATCGATGACTAAAGTATTTTTTATCGTTGATAGTTTGTTTGGTTGTGAGCACTGTTGTTTAATTTACGAAACCTCAATATAATTCTTAAGCATACGTTATTTCATTGTTTTATAAGATATATTGTTATTTTAAGTTAGATTCAACAGTTTTGTATATATAACCTCTATAAAAGCTTACAAGTGGGAGGGGTAAAAATGACCAACTGAACCTTCACCCTAACAAAGATGTAAACAATGAAAAATAGTAAATAAAAAGTAAATTAAGTTAGAAAAAGCAATTTTACAAGAAATAAATTAAATAAATGGTTATTACAACTCCGCTGATGAATAATTCTGCCTTAAAACCTAATCAATGTTATATACTGTATTAGTTCTGTGAAAGATGCACCTATGAAATTTATTTTTGTATTGGTTGGATAATGTAACCATTATTTCGTAAAATCCTTTTAAAGTTAAAAATAAGACATTAAAACTTTTTGCCCCCTGGCCGTCCCAATTTACCCCGCTTATGGGGCAAAAAGAACCAGGTCACAAATTTTTAAAAACAGCAAAAAGCACATTTCTACAATGATGAATTATTTTGGTTGTACTAAATATGGTCAGATAGTTGTTTGTTTGATATGTGCTATTTGTTGTGATATACTTGGTTCACAATATAATTTCTCAAAGTCAAATTGGACCTCTTTGTGCCCCGCCTTACCCTATTTTGAATATATCTTTTAACAGGGTATCTGACAAAAAATCTGAGACCTTAAACAGAAGTTGTTGATCACAAGAGTAGTAAATAATATTAATTTTCGCTGTAATTAGTAAAAGTTTTTAAGCAGGTATATACGTCTATTATTTCGGCATAGCAACTGTTAAGATGTGAAAACCGTATTGTCTTTCGCTGACTATAAAACATGTTATCCAAATGCGAATTGTAATTAGTTCGGCGTATTCAAGTTCAGTTTACAATTCCGCGAACATCACCTATCTGTTCAATATTCGTTACGCATACGTTTTATAAGTCATAAAATCTTTACTATCATTTTATTATATTTCTCCGTTGCTTTTAGCATAACTTTTATGTTTGAAATTTTCCACCTGAATATACCAACATAAAATTTAAAGATTTATTTAAAGAGAAATACGCATTCAAATTCATTATTAATATTTGTATAAATATTTGCATATTTCAAATATAATACTAATAATTTGCTCGAAATAATATATAGGGGAGACTGGATATGGTTGTGCCACTTTGATTGGCAATATTTTTTTAATTTATCAGTTAGCTGGGATAAAAGTAAATTAAATGGTAATTTGAACATTTGTCTGTCTGGAAATATTAAAATACTGACCTTAAATATGTTGAGTCATAAAATCAAATTATACAAGAAAAGGGCGAGTGTCACAACCGTCCACACCCCAAGGACGGTTGTGGCATGCATAAAAATAGGTTAAAAAATAATAGGCATAAACATACACAACATACTCATTGAAATAAAGCTTATGAATATAATATAACAGAACATAATTTTTTAAACAAAGCTAACACGAAATCTTTGTGAACTTTTTTTTATTTTATTGAATTTTCCTTTTCTTTTCTCTTTTGTATTTTGTCTCAGATTTTTCTTTATCTGTTTAGTCTTCATCTGAAAAGGACAAGACCTACAACCACGTGTCACAACCGTACCCAACGCACACTTTTGAGAAAAAATAATCATTATGACTGATCTAAATTATCTAATGTTCAACTTACATCAAAATTACAAACAAAGTGGTCTATGTGTTTGTTACTTTGACATATAATGAAAACTTGTTCGAACAAACATACTTCGTCTTTCTCCCTTTGGACATCTCAAAATCAGTAGAATTTTGCTGTTAAGACGATTGTCTCTACCGTACCCTGGCACAACCGTACCCAGTCTTCCCTACTCACATTTTAACAATTTAGTATAGTTTAATAATCAATTATAGGTATAAACATACTGTATTGTGTATGCATTTTTTATTTTCATTCCACTACTTTTATTTTGCATATTTATAAATTTAATAATTAATTTATTATATTTGATAGTATTGAATTTTTGAGCACCTGTATGTAATACATTGCTATACCTCTATATATTGTACAATGTTTGAAATTCAACATGGTTTTAACTTACAATTTGTATACTTTTTTATGATTCCTGAGCGAGCAAGACGCCCAAAAATTTGTTACAAAATATATGTTAAGATTATCATATATAAGAATATTAATCAATAAGAACGCAAAATTAAAAAAAAATAGAAATTGTTCTTCTAAGAAACTAAATATTTCAATAACAAATTAGAATTCTAAGAAATTTACGCAGAGCGGAAAATATTGAAACCAAAGTAATAAATGTCGTCTAAAAGTGACACTCGTACACACAGATCGTCAAGCAAATGTCGCATATAGACGACGCTTGTAGCAAGAGGGGCAATACACCCATAAAGTAAATGCTTGGACGTAGTTGATTAAATCATTTGGGTTCTGAACGGTTGCGGTTTTATTTTAAAAATAAATATTTTGGCACCAACAAAAGTACTAAATTGTTACTACTTAAAAATAAAATTGTTTTTCTAAAATTTATGTTAAATTATATTTTTGGATAATTTTTAAAAATAAGTTTGAATTGCAAACTCTTAAAAAAAATTAAATTAAATTCTGACATGTAATATAGTTTTTAAAATAAATTGTGATAAATTAATCACTTGGGATAAAATAAATTATTTATTGTGTTAAAGAAACTAGACAATCCATTTAGAAATAATTTTTAAAGATATGAAGTAAACTCATATATACTTTATATCAAAGTTTCTATATGTAACAATCGAATAATTATAACTAAAATTTCGAAAGGTATTATAGAATAGATGGATTGTTCCTCTTGTTTATTTTCCAGTTTCATAGTTCCTATATACATCGCCATTCGGATAATCATAGTTAAAAATTGAAAAACTACTGTAATAGATGTATGTACCCCTTCTCACGCATTCGATTTTTTTTTTGGATTTCCAGTCTACAAAACTCCCGGATTAACCTACAACCGAGGTCAAAACATCTACAGCTGTGACTACAACTCGCCGCCACCAAAAGGTATGGTGTGCGACGTGGACGTCAAAGCTTGGGGTCCCTGTATCGAAGAAAACAATTTTAATTATCACAAGAGCGCGCCGTGCGTCATTTTGAAGTTGAACAAAATTTTCGGCTGGGTGCCCGAATATTACAATGACACTAACAGCCTGCCCGAAAAGATGCCGGAAGAGCTCAAAAACTATATCAGAAACGATCCAGAAATTGTTGCCAATCCAGCCATGGTAAGTTTGAAGAAAAATAGCTTATAAGCGATTTAGTACACATATTTATTATAAAAACTTAAAATAAAATAACATCTTTAATTAACTTTCTAAATAGGTACGAATTTAGAATTTATTAAGCTTTAATATTTTGGTAAATTAAATCGGTCGCACGGCTACAATTTGAGCTCTGATTCAATTTTCGTTGCTCTTACAACATTAACACTTTCTTATTGATAATATTATAACTTTTTTGAAATTATAAAATGAATAAAAAATTCAGAAGATAATTTATAATTTTCAACCCTTTGCACTTGGCACCTTTCAGATGTTACCTACTGCCAACTCGACGCTTTTTTGCATTAATTTAACCTGTAACAACAGAATACGTGTTTCTTAAAAAATGGGGTGAATGTTTTGATTAAATTAAATTATTTAATATTTTTAAATTTATTTTTATAAATAAAAAGCGACGGGACCTGAGTCAGAGGTCCCGGGTTCGATACCCACTTCGAGCAGCCTGTTGTCAGGCAGCAGTGACAACGATTTTCACTTGGAAACATAGATAGCAATATGTTTCCAAGTTAAAATAGCCCTCACCCGGCATTGCTGCACCAATAAAATGTCAGCCCTATTAGATCAATTCTAATAACAAAATCATCAAGTATGGGTGGATAACCATTGGGTTACCATCTAAAAAATACGAAGTAAGGAGAAGTTTCATCCCAACAGCTCATAGGACTCAAGGTTCTGATTGCTGTTAAACAATAAAAAAAATATTTTTATTAATAATTTTAATTTTTAACAAAGTATCACATCTCTTCAGAAAAGACAACCGAGTGATATGCTAGGCTCACGTTGTGCCTTCAAAGAGACATCCGATTGAAAAGGATTAACTAATTTTTGTGTTCTGCTTTCAAAACTATCAAGTCAAAATATATTTGAACAATTGTGTATTGTGTTTATTATATATTTATGTATTTTTCAGAGAAACACAGTCTGGGTCTCATGCGAAGGCGAAAATCCAGCCGATGTAGAACACATCGGAACTATTAAGTACTACCCGAAGCGCGGTTTTCCAGGATATTACTATCCTTATGAAAACAATGAAGGATACCTGAGTCCTTTAGTTGCGGTTCATTTCGAACGGCCGAAAAGTAAGTATTTATATTTTATAGTTTGTTCTTCGTAGAAATCAATTTTATCTGCTTTTGAAAGGGGAGTCGGTGTTAATTTTTGCAGAATAAAGATTGCATGTAGTAAAATATCGTATGTCATCTTTCTTAGAACGTTATTTGAAAAGGGTTTATACATTTTGCCTGTGGTATTTATTTATTTTAGTTTTTTTTGTGTATGCCTTCAACATTTGATATTATAATCGATCTTCATCAAGTACCATCAAGTACCATCAAGAAACAAAATTATTTTGAAAGCATTGTAAAAAAAGTAAAATATACCAAATCCATTTTATGAATTACAAAATAGATTTTAATATCTCATTTAGAGCTCAACACGTTGCATGCCAACTACCAAATAACTCGTAGATTACGATATTTTCTAGGACGTCAACTACGAGTTGTCTCGTACAAACACTTTTTTTTTTAATTTCGATGGAAACTATGCACTAGAAATAAAGTTTTCAATAATATGTGATTAAATCGAATTGTCATTTTTGTCCTGGTTTTTATATATTGCTGGCAGTCAATGGGTTGAAGTATTATTAAATAGATACCAAAAATTGTAATATGGAAGCGTCGACGAATCGGTAATTGTTGCTATTGTTAATTAGCGCTATAAGCGATTCCGATAGTATTCTGTGTTGATTGTGAGATGCGTGGCTCATGTGTTAATATATTAATGATATATTGAAATTCGTTTCAGCCGGAATCCTGATCAACATCGAATGCAAGGCGTGGGCGCACAACGTCATCCACGATCGTCACGACAGAATCGGCAGTGTCCATTTCGAACTTATGGTGGACTAAGAACTTAGTCAGCTATCTTAGAGCAACTAGTATCAGCAAGAAACTGCATCAGCCATCGCACGTCCATTCGCTTAGTCGATAAAATAATATCTTATACGTAAATCGAGAACAAAATTTAAAGATATTATTATATCGATCGCTATTTTAAATTTAGAAATCCGAAAAATGTCATTTTAAAATGTGTTCGTTTAAAACGAGTTTTGTACTTATTTCGATAAGTACAAATCTCGATAGTTACGCGACTCATAAATAATTATTTAAACAATGAATGTTAAAAAAAATTAAAGTTTGTAAATATAATATATGTATTGGATTAACTTAGTTAATTCTCCCTCGCAATTTTATACTATAGTAACCAGAAACAAAAATCAGAGTGTGTAAAATGTAAATTCATATATTTTTGGTAAAAATACAATCAAGATATAACAGTGCCACAATATTATTAAAATACGTATTTGTGACGAAACCTAAAGTGTAGTCAGAATATAAAAAACAATAATATTTATACCTTCAAATGTATGCTTTGAAAAAAAGCATTCGAAGATTTTGTTTAAATATTTTGTTAAGTCCACATTTATGTTTGTTCGTTCAATTAAATTATGTTTCTTTTGCAAGTAAGATTATGTTGTAGATATTGTCACAAAATTAGTATATTTTATGTAATTTTAAGCATATTGTTATTTTTTGGAAAATCGGACTATTGTCACCAAAATTAAATAAATGAACAGAGTATGTATAATATAGAGTATTTTTATATGTAGCAAATGATATTTACTATACAAATAGTAAATTGTTCTGGTTATTCCTAAAACACACAGATCTCCAAATTTTGGCTAAATAAATACAAAATTTACATTTGCAAAAATTAAAGGATTCAATTCCTTTATATTGATATTTTATTTAAAATTAAGTCGAAAGTTATTTTATGTAATTAAGAATAAGTATTTTATAGGTTGTTATAGACACTATAATTCCTAGTTTGTCGTACTGATGTTACTAGAGCCTTGTAGTATTATTAAATTAACGAAATTCTATCAATATATATATGTATATATATGTATATATATATATATATATATATATATATATATATTTGAAGACCATCATTTTTAAGAATTTTGTTTATAACTTTAGTTTTGCATTCAAATATGTGTTTATATTTCAATCCAGAACACTTTAGTTTTTCGAAAAGAAGATTGAAACGAACCAATCGACAGATTTCTTTTGTCACAAATGCACATCTATTTAAAAATGAACAAATTGTGATTTTCCCCAAAATTGTTCTAATATAGCTAGTAACTGTCAATAGAAATAAAACAAGTACAATTATAAAACTGTCAATTCTGTTAGTTTATAACAATGCCGTGAATTTGTAATTTGAAAGTACAAATAGAAATGATTTACTTCTATAAAATTAATATGTGTTTTATTAAAAATTAGTTGTTTACTTTGCTTTGCAGCTAAACGGCATATATGTATTTAAAAAAATACACAATATGCACACAAGTACCTACTCAATTTTTTATATATAACATATTTTATTAAAATTTTGACCATTGGGACACCCATAAGTGTCACCATTGGCATTGTACTTGAAGTTATATGAAATACATAATTCTGAATATTTATTCCAAAACGTAAAATAATTCATTATTCTATATTTGTATTCTCGACAAATGGTTGTACTTGGAGTTACATGAAATTCAAAATTCTGAATATTTATTCCAAAACATAAAATAATTTATTATTCTATATTTGTATTCTCGACAAACACACAAATGGCTTAACTAAACCTAAAACTATAATGAATTTAAATTAATAATTTAAACTTATTTTATAACGTATTGTAAACTCAAAGCGTAAGCAATCAAACAAAATCTTCTCTAGAAATCAAAATCTTTTTTAGAAACCACATAAAATATGTGTTCGATACAAAGAACCACAGTAAAAAATCTGGTTAAAAATCTTAAAAATGTGCTAAAATTACATTTTCAAAATATTCCTATATATGGGGCAGTGGACACTAGAATCTCAAACCAAATATTATTTGCAAATATGAAAAATTAGAGTTTCGACAACTTAATTAAAAGTTGTTAACGGACAAATTTGCCGTTTTTTTAACAGCGTGACCTTCCCGCCCTCCAATTGGCTAATGAATCGTTCCGTAAAAAACAGTTTACGACGAATACAAGTGCACAACCTTAAAATCATAGTATTCCGAAATCAATAAATTTTGTTTATATTAAGCGTTATGAATATGTCTAAAGAATTATTGAAGAAAGAAGAAAAGTGCATCGAAATGCAGGCGCAACTTGAGGAAAGCACAAAGAAAACTCATGCGGAAAAGTGCGAAGAGGTATAGATATATCATAATTATGAATACAAAATAAAGGGGTTATCTTTACATCAAATGACATGTTTGATTTTTCAATTTTTTCAATTATAAAATATGTATTTCTTTATATAATGTAGTTTACAATTTAAGGGTGTTACAAAGAGTTTTTTATCCTCAGGTATTACAATATTTCATAAATTACTACTGTAACAATTGATTTTGTATACAATGGTATGTATTATATCGGATATCAGGCATGTGTAAAAAAAGAATTTAGTAATTCTTTAAAAAATCACATAACAATATTTAGCAAAATAATGTTAATGAATAGTGTTAGTGAATAATGTTTCAATCTTAGACAATATAAGAATATGATATGTTCTACATATAGAATTATAGGCGTTTTATTTTTTTTTGACTTTTACGTTCAGAGTACTAGTTAAGGGATACTACAATCAGACACGATGGCGCTGTTATCGGCATTCAAATTAATGAATTTTAATAATCGGGTATTTGAACCTAAATTTTCATTACATTCGTATTATGTTCTGTAATAATACAATTATAACAAGGATATACTAAACTAGTGGTGTATGGCAGCGTGCCTTAGGGCAATTTGCTAGAACTTCTGTAATATTGTCTAATATTTATAAGAATTATAGAAACTGAATTACAAAGTTAAAATTATTCACTTAAAATATATATGTGAGCTTTAGAACTTTAACCGATATATAAAATAACTAGTGGGGCGCATGGCATCGTGCCTTAAGGCAAATTGCTGAAACTTCCCGTACCAAAAATTATTTTTCTTTAAAAGAGATTAACATTTTTGAAAAAATTTACTCTGAAAAAATTAGATTTTTGAGAAACTATAAATTTTTGCAAAAATTTACTTTTTTTTAAAAAAAAGACTTTTTGAAGAAAAATTTATTTTAAAATATTGTGGAAATACTGAACATTTTTTCAAAGAAATCGTACTGCTTGAACTGCATAGAGACGAAATGTCAAAGCGCGCAAGTGCCGCGCCGCCGTCTAACGCATAAGCATTGGTACGGAACCCATAGAAATGTAAAAAAAATTATACTTATTGTTAAAATCTCTATAAAATATCTGATAATTTGATGTGCATCTGTCTAATGATCATTTTTGACCGCCAGATGGCATTTTTTTTACTTTTTAACTTCCCGTAGGGCAAGTTATAGTAATCGCAAAAAAATCGAAAATAAAATTTTTTATATATCTTTACGTTTCAAAACTTTCCGAACATTTTGGCATACCTTAGAAAAAATGAATGTATGTGTGTGTGTGCGGATACAAATTTTCGTCGACGATTTTGGGAACACGGATAAAGCGATTTGAATAATTCAAAAAACATACATGTAACATATTCTAATATTACATTATGCTTTCATGGAGTAAAATATTCGAAGACTCAAAATTTCTACCCCTCGTGAATAAGGAACAAAATATTTTATGAAACAAGAAACTGCAAATGAAGAGAAGTAAAATTTAAAATTATGGCAGACCTCTGTTATATTATGAAGTTGATCAATATTTATATCTGCAATATTTTAATAAATATATAATAATGAAGAAATGAATAATAATAATAATAATATAAATAAAAAATAATTAATAATTTTTACTCCAATTTGCACAAAATAGATGAAGGTACATATATTAAAAAGTAAAAATGCATACAATTTCGGCAATTATATTCTGAACTCGAGCACAGAGCTTTCGTACATCATGTTATAAAATTTTTAACACCGATTTTTACAAAGAAATAAGATATCACATAATTAGATAAAATAACAATTAATAATAATTTTACTAGGAACAACGATTGCTTGACCTTTCTAATGATAAAGATGCATTTAAAGAACAAAATGGAAAAAATTCTGAACCAATAAACGAAGTCCCTACTAATGATGCAGAAAAAGAAAAAGAAACTTTTAAGAAAGAATACGAGGTAAACATCAAGAACTATTTAATTAAATATTTATAAATAATTAGGACAACATTGACAAAATTTACAAAAAAAATACTTTTTACGAAATTTGGGTAGCGCCCTACTTCAATACGATACAGTTAAATTTCAAGATAAAAAATCTATATATTAGGTTGTCAAATATCGCTTCCGCTTTTTTGCTCTTGGTCTAATACAAAAAGGCGGAAGGGAGATATTTGACAACCTATTATTAAAATATTAAAAATTCGTTAACATATAAAATTAAATATAATATTACCATTCTATCATTTTCCTTCTACAGAATGAACTGAAGATATTAAAGAATAACTTAAGTTACCTAGAAGCTACACAAGCACCTGATGTAAGTAAAAACATTTTTATCTAAAAACTGAGTTAGTGTAAATATTTCAAGCTCATGAATTATGATAAAAATTATTATATCTCAGCATGAACACAAGCAAGATTCAGAAGACAAATTGGCGGAAAATTTGGCAAGGCCAAAGAAGGATATTGAATGCTCCGACCACAAGACGAAATATGAGGTCAATATAATATTCTCAATTAATAATATATAATTGTATTCATAAATAACAACATTTTTGTTTAAGTTTTTGTTCAACATATAACACGACTGAAATCGATAGAAATTTCTATCATTTAAATGTTTTGCTAAAAGTAATTAATTAGAATATTATAACACTAAGAAAACATTTTTAAGTAAACAATTTGAAGTAAGTTATGTAAAATGCTTGATCGATTGTATAATGAATATAAAAATATGAAAAATGAATTATTTAATATAATATAAAAAGTACTGTTTCGAAATGGTAATGAGCATCGTGATACAGATTTGGAGTTTGAAGCAAAACTGAGTATGGTCAAGCTTATTCATAATTGAAATATTTATTTTACAGGGAATTGTTGTAAACTACAACAAATTAGATACAGAATATCAAAGGCTTAAAGATCAATTGAAAATTTGCATAGCATCAGATAAATTGTGTAAAGATCAGATGCAGCGCGTCAAAGAGTTAAACGATCAGCAAAATTATGAGGTAATCATTATTTTGAATTTCTTTTGGCATAATTTAGCACAAGAATTTACAATAACTTTATGTACAAATAGGACCAAGAAGCTATTAATAGGCAAGTCGTTGATGAACTTGAGAAACGCCTATATGAACAAGGAGAAGTAATACAAACCTTAGTAAGGGCCATTGAACATCAACAGTCTATAATGGGAACCCTTCGAGAACAAAAAGACATAATCGCCACTTTAAACCTATGAAAAAAGTTCGCCAAGTTTTTAATTTATATATGCCAGAAGAATCCGAACCTACACCATGATCACTTAATGTTCAAATTAATTTTTAATTTTAATTAACATATTTCCATATTATTAAAATTTAATCGGCGAAATTACGTTGTGAAAAAAATATTAACTATAATCTCAAAACCTATTCGAATAATTAAAAATTATAAAAATCTACTGTGTTATTTTGTCATTAATTCATTATGATATATACCAATAACTTATTAATGCCTTTATATCACAAAATTGGAAACTGTTAGCAAAATTATTTACAAGATGCGAAATTTAGATCCTTCTAATATACTTTTGTCTGTCTAAATTAAAATTCAACTTTTGTAGTTACTAGTAAGAGTCAAACTGTCTCGTATCAAATGCAATTGATTCGTAATATATTCTGTTTTTCAATAATCAAAAGATTATATTGAAATGAAAAACTGGAAGATAAAAAAGTGGAGTATTTTACACTGATGGTAAGTCATTTGCTGATTATATTTATAAAATATTTATTAATTTATTAATAATACATTCGTTTTTTTTATTTTTGAGCACTGTTGATCAGTTTACGATACAAGAATATAATTTTTAAGCATACGTTATTTAATTGTTTTGCTGAAGCATATTGTTATTTTTAAGTTTTGATCAACAGTTTTTTTTATATAAACTCAGTAGAAGCTTAAATGTTGATTTGTTTATTATACTTACCAATATATATTTAGACTCTTTTTTACGCTAGTTCTTCAGCCTAATAATTAATCTACATGGCATTGATTAAATAATTTAGCTATTATTCCGTAAATCATATTTACCCCTCCTATGGAACATATGATAAATTTTAGAAAAATAACAAAAAAAAAATACTTTAACAATAGTTTACATAGTCAAATTAGACCATTGTGCCCACCCCTACCCTACATATGGGATATAGAATTACGAATTCCGATTTAAAAATAAATTTTAAATCTACCTGTGTTGTAAATATTTGTTATCACTTTACCATTTCTCACTCATTCTAAGCCATTTTCATATTACTAGAGAATTCGTATGAAATTTTCACACTATCTTTTTAACTACATTGCGTACCCAGAAAAAAGTGGGTTCATTTCAACAAAAATGTATTTAATTAAATAAGTGAAATAATGTAAATATTGTTAAAGACATAAGATTGAATTAAAAACACGTTCTACGTTTAAGACGTAAGATAGTTTAATTTACGTTTCAAAAATTTCTCAACAATTTGACGTACTTTAGAAGCAGGTACAGCCTTTTCGATACGGGGCAAAAGTGCTGAAAATGGCAATTCATTTGTTGAGATAAAAGTGCATCCGATTTGAATGATTTAAAAAATATTTTATTTGTATAAACAAAATGAAGCACTGATTAAATGTTTGAAGAGGCAGGTCTGGCGGTTTTTGAGATCCAATAAAAAAAAGTTTGACGGACAAAAATGATCATCAGACATATGCACATCAAATTATCAGATATTTTATAAAGATTTTAATAATGAGTACTAGTTTTTTTTTTTTTGTATAGGTTCCGTACCAATGTGTACCCGTTAGACTGCGCCGCGGCGCTTACGCGCTTAGATATTTCGCCTCTAAGCAGCTAACGCATCGCGATTGCTTTGAAAAACATTCAAGATTTTCAAAATATAAAAAAATATTTCATTTTTTTTTTCAAAAATCTAATTTATTCAAATAATTTTAAAGCTTGTTTAGAAATTTTAATTTTTGGTACGAGAGGTTTGCCTTAAGGCACCACTAGTTGCGATAACTATAACTTATTTCCGTAGAGAAGTTAAAAATGACAAGTAAATAAATTAATTGGTTGTCAAACTAATGAAATTGTGTTGAAATTTAATTTTAAAAATATTCACTAGGATCTCAAAACGATCAAACATATTGTAAACGTACAAATCGGTGTTTTTTCAACGACGTGACCCTACCCCCCAATTGGATAATGAATCGTTCCGTATAAACAGTTTCCATAGTGACGAATATAAATAAGTGAATAACCTTAAAATCATAGTAGTCTGAAATCAACATATTTTGTTCATAATTCACCATGAGTATTTCTAAAGAGTTGTTAAAGAAAGAAGAAAAGTACACTGAAATTCAGGCGCAACTTGAAGAAAGCACGAAGAAAATTCTTGCGGACTATGCAAAGTACAAAGAGGTATAGATTTATCATAATTATGAATATAAAATGAACGGATTATATTTTCACAAAATGAATATGAAATGACATATTTGATCATAATTATTCTAATTCTATGAAGCATATTTATATATTCTATATCACCTTTACGTTATGTTTTCATGGAATAAAATGTACTCACAGGCTTAAAGTTTGGTGACTAACAATCAAAATATTTTTTATAAAAAAAAACTGCAAATAAATAGAAGTATAAGTTAAAATTATGGCAAACATGTTATATTATAAAACAGATCAATAGTTATATATATACGATATTAACTTCCCGGAGGGTAAGTTATAGTACCCTTCCAAAAATCGAAATTGGAATTGGAATATCTTTACGTTTCAAGGTTTTTTAAACATTTTGGCAAAAATGGATATGTGTGTATGGATACAATTTTTAGTCCATGATTTCGAAAGCACGAATCAACCGATTTGAATGATTCAAAAAATATTCGATTCATATTAGTTTTTGGCAAAGGCAGGTCCAGCCATTTCAAAGAGAAAAAAATCAAAAATTGGAAATTCGGTTTTCGCGAGAGTGGTGCACCCGATTAGATTTATTCAAAATAAATTTGATTCGTGTTGACGGCGAGACGTGCTGGTGAGTTTTTAGCAAAGACAGGTTCATCCGCCTGGGACATACAGAATAAAAAGAGCTATTAATTACAGCTTTTGAGAAAACGGAGCGTCCTTTTCGAATGATTCAAAAAACATTCTGCTTCTGTAGACACCGTGAAGAAAAATGATTAGTTTTTGGGGAAGGCAAAAAAATATCGAAAATGATTCTAATTTTAATTTAAATAATTTTAGCTATGTAATTCAGTTTATATATAATTCTTAGAAATACGATGTAAGGTCCTTCAGTCCTAAACTCCGCTTGATTAAGTTTTGATTGTTAACATTGCACCACTAGTTTTAAATTTATGTAGGGCAAAACCATATCCTTAAAAGCTCCTGTTGGATCTATATATAATAAATTTCATTGAAATACATCGCATCCTGTTGAATACTGCATTAAAAGTCAATATTTTAACCCAGTCGTCTTCATTGTTTTCCAAACTGAACTTCGCATGTTAAAGCAATGCACAAAATATACACATTTTTTTCCATATCTATATGCTAATTTTTTATATTTTAAAATTATAAAAGCAAACAGGTAATTAGGAAAATAATTAAAATTTCATAAAACTTACGATGCGCGTTGAAAACATTTTATTTTTAATATAGACTAATATTATTTAAATCAATCATTGCTAATTATTTGCTTGTACTCAAATCAAAGAAAATTTAACAACTATATCTAAACTTTATTTTAATTCAATTACATATTTTTGAAGACCACTTAAACCTCTAAGAAATAAAAATATGTTTTCATCTAAAACAGAAATTTTTAAAATAGCTATCGATATATTTATATCTTCTATTATTATAAATTGAACATAAGAGCAAATAGCCATGAATTACTGATCTGAAAAATTATAATTAGATAAATAAAAATTGATTACCAAATTTTACTTCAATTTGCATTAAATAAATAAAAGTACATATATAAAAAGTAAAAATGTCTATGCCTGAGCACAAAGTTTTTGTAACATCATGTTATAAAATTTTTAATATGAATTTTAACAACGAAATAAGATATCACGCAATGAGATAAAATAACAATTAACAATAATATTACTAGGAACAAGAGTTGCTTCTTTCAAGTGATAAAGATGAATCCAAAGAAGAAAAAAATGAATTGAAAGAAAGAGAAAAGAATTCTGAACTCGAAAAATTGCATAAACCAACAGAAGAAAATAAGGATGCAATGTTTTGTAATTCTGATGTTTTCCTTGAACAAGGACCTACTAGTGATGTATTTGAAAAAACAACAAGTATTTTAATGAAAAATTTTCAGGTAAACACCAAAACCTATTTATATTCACAATTGAATACTTATAAATAATTATGATCTATTTATTTATTTATTTATTACCAATAATCTTTATTCTATGTCATTATTGTTATTTATATCATGGACAAAATTAACTACTTAATTAAAAAATCCTTTTTACGAAATTGGTATGGCTTCTAATATGTTACAGTTAAATTTTAAGATAATATATATATATATATATATATATATATATATTATATATATATATATAATATTAATAATTCATTAATATTTTACATGTTCAATTTCCTGTTACAGAGTGAAATACTGAATTTAAAAAATGATTTAACTACTTTAAAGATTGCTCAAAAAGCGGATGTAAGTAAAAACATTTCCATCTAAAAACTGAGTTAGTGCAAATATATTAAACTCATAAATTATTATTAAAATTGTTACATCTTAGCATGAAAAGTACAAACAGATGCAAGCTTCGAAGGACAAGTTGGCGAGTGATATAATTAAACTTAATAATCAGAATAATGTTTTGAGAAACAGTTTAAAAGAAAAGGATATTGAATGCTCTGATCACAAGACGAAATATGAGGTCAATATAATAGTCTTAATGAATAATAAATAATTGTATTCAAAAGTACGAAAATTATTTGTTTAGGTTTTTATTCAACACATAACATGATTGAAATTGATAGAAAATGTTTTGTAAAGTAATAAATTAGAGCGTATGGCAATAAGAGAATATTTAAAAATAAACCATTTGAATTTAATTATTTAAAATGCTCGATCGATTGTATAATGAACTCCAAAATAAGATAAATATATTATTTAAATATAAAAACTTACATGTATAACAACAAGTTCTATACCGCGGTGGTTATTGAAAATTGAATTTGGTCAAGCTTATTCCTAGTTAAATTATTTATTTTACAGGAACTTGATGCAAAATATAAAAATGTAGAAAAAGATTATCAAAGACTTAAAGGTGAACTCAAAACTTGCATAGCATCAGATAAACTGTGCAAAGATCAGATGCAGCGCGTCAAACAGTCCTATGAATCGCTCCAAATAAAATCGAAGAACGACCAGCAAAACTATAAGGTAAACGATACTTTGAACTAATTTAGCACAAGAATTTCAAATAACGACACCTTATGTACATATAGGATCAACAAGCTATTAATAAGCAAGTCGTTGAGGAACTTGAGAAACGCTTACGTGAACAAGAAAAATTAATAAAAACCTTAGTGACCGCGATTGAACATCAGCAGTCGATTATGGGAAACCTTCAACGCCAAACAGACTTACTCGCCACTCTGAACCTATGTGAAGTTACAGAAAAAAACTTTCGAGAACTTTTAAATTTATATATGCCAGAAGAAACCAAACCTACACCATGATCATTATCATGATGAAATAAAAGAATGTGACATATTTTCGAAAATATTAATTATGATCTCAAAATTTATTTGAATAATTAAAAATGTTAAAAATCTACGATGTTATTTTGTCATTAATTCGTTATGATATATACTAATAACTTATTAGTGCCTTTATATAGCAAAATTGGAAACTGTTAACAAAATTATTTACAAGATGTGGCAAAATTAAAAAAAAAATCGAAATACATTAGTGTATAAAATGGCCCTTCTATTTCAAATCCTTCTATTTTCTAAATTAATATTCAATTTTTGTTACTTGTAAGCGTCAGATTGTCTCGTATCAAATGAAATTGATTCGTAATACATTCTGTATTCCAATAATAAAACGAATGTATGGTAATGAGGAACTGGAATATTTTACACGGGTAAGTCATTTATCAATTTTATTGATGAAATATTTACACTCTCAAGTAAAACATTGAATTTTTTACCAATACTATACTAAAGTAGAGGGCAAAATATGTGAGAAAAATCATCGCCTTGTATCGGGCGACGTCGCCTTCGGAAGATACATGCCCACATTGTCATTTCTAGCAATTTTTTTCGTAGTTAGTTTTTTTGTTTTGAGCACTGCTGATTAGTTTACGTTACCAGAATACAATTTTTGAGCATACGTTATTCAATTGTTTTATGAAGCATATTGTTATTTGTAAGTTATTATCGATAGTATTTTTATATAAACTCTATAAAAGCTTAAATGTTGACGAAGATTTTTGTTTATTATACTTACCGATATAAATTTAGACAATTTTTAACGCTTGTTTTTCAACCTAATAATTACACTACATCGCATTGATTATAATCTATTTTATTCGTAAAACCTCTTTTAAAATTAAGAATAAAACATCGAACCTTTTTCGCCCCTTACTGTTTTAGAAAAAAAGCAAAAAATATATTTCTATATTGATAGCTACAAAATTTAATGAACATAGTTCAGACTGTCAAATTATACCTTTGTGCCACGCCCGCTCGTGATTTAGAATTACGAATTCAAATTTAGAAATGAATTTGAAATCTTACCTTTGAAATAAATATTTGTTATCACTTTACCAGTTCTCACTCATTCTCAGCCATTTTCACATCACCTAAGAATTCGTATCAGATTTTCGCACTCTATTTGTAACTACATTGCGTACCTGGAAAAAGTTGGATTCATTACAATTAGAATTGAATTCATTAATTGAATGAGTAAAATAATATATAGTATAGCAGTATAATTAAAAATACGTACACATCTTTATTTATTGAATAGCAATCGAAACTTAAGGGTTCTATGAGCTGTTGTAATGAAACTGTAAACCGATGTCACTGCTTGACATCAGGGTGATCGAAGCTTTATTGAACCCGGAAATTTTGATTCAAATTCCGTTGCTCTAACCGCTTACCCGTAGGTAAAAATACGAGCGATCCCGATGTAAACATCTTTAAAACCGATTTGTTGATTTTATTATCGTTATATATTACTACATATGGGGCACGCCCGTAGGTATGCGCTTAAGAGCGTCGAGACCTGAATCTAGGTTCCGGGTTCGATACCCACTTCGAGCAGCCTGTTGTCAGGCAGCAGTGACAACGATTTTCACTTGGCAATATAGATAGCAATATGTTTCCAAGTGAAATTAGCCCTCACCCGACATTGCTGCACCAATAAAAATATTCGCCCTATTACAGAAATTGTAATATCATACAGAGATGCGACAACTGTTTGGACTGCTATCTGTCAAACAGACTAGTATTAAGTCAAATCAGCACAACAGCTTATAGGACTGTTAGGTTCTGATTGCTGTTCAAAAATAATTAAAAAAAAATTACTACAGGTGGTAGTATTCCTTATCAAAAACTGTTGATGTATTGTTGACTTCCCGAACGAGATGTTATGTTTTTGTCTGAAAATCTATTTATGCTAATCAAATTATCAGATATTTTATAGAGATTTTAATAATGTGTACAAATTTTGTGTAATTTTTTTGGGTTCCGTACCAAGATTTTTAATTACAGTACGGGAAGTTCCAGCAATTTGCCTTAAGGCACGATGCCATGCTGTTAGTTAACTAGTTTTAGTCAACTCCGTGATTTTTCAGCGTACTCAATTACACATTATGTATGTCTCACTACTACGTATAAGCCTCCTCTCTTAGTTGGCGAAAATAGTTGTTGAAAATATCTGTGAATTCAATAGCAATGAAGATCTCCATTAAAATCAAAGAACTGAATCAATTCTTAAAAATCGTTGCAATAAATTGGCGCAGGCCAGTATAAAATCAAAAATATTTCTGAGCTCGCAGCCGTTTGGGCCGGGGTTCACTTGGATCGGAGGCCACCTTGAATCTGGGGTCACCAGTGGCGGATCCAGGGGGTGGGCCACGGGGGTCATGACCCCCCCTAAGCTTGTCTTAAGACTTAGATAGAACGCTAATTCAGCAATAAAATTCCTTTATGATGATTTTATTTATGTACATATTTTGTTACCAAACGCATTTTATAACTTTAATATGTGACTTATTATAGACGAACGGCGAAGTCAAAGACTAAAATTTAAGGATTTTCTAATCGTATTGCGGGGTAAAATAGGACGGCCAGAGGACAAACAATTCAATGTATTATTTTTAACTTTGAAGAGATTTAACGAAATAATAACTATATTATTCAACCAATGCAAAATATAAATTTTATGGGTGCATTTATTACAGAGGTACCTCTGCATATAACCTCGATTTGATATTTCGTCCAAAATATTCATGAGCAGAGTTGGAATAAATATTTATTTAATTTATCTCTTGTAAAAAATGTGACCCCCCCTGACGCCAAAGCTGGATCCGCCACTGGGGGTCACCCTATAGGGCCAAACGCCTACGCCACTAAGTAAGTATGTACTTTATATTGTAGAATTGTTATTAGTCGAACTGATGAATAATAATTCAACAATAATATTCAGCAATAATGAAAGTCATGTTCGAACGCTTCTGTAGATAACCCTAAAATGTTGTCATGTTTTGGTGACAAAAATATTAAGCAATTAGCACTACGTTACTTACGTCTTCCCACTGCCAATTTACCATCGACGAGCAAAGTATTAACTGAAAAGACAAATATTTCAGCGCCATCTCCCAATGTTTATATCGTGACCTCGTTGGATGTGTACAGGTTTAGTGTACATTGGTGTACATTACAGATTACAGGTTGCTACACGAGAACTGATTGTCAGATCATTTTGCGCAGTATCGTATTGGATGTCGAAAACCATATTTGGTTTTCGGTAGATTTTTTTATTGTTGTAAAGGATTCAGTGTCAGCACCAATTTCACAGCCAACGTCCGTATCGATTTTTATAAACTGTGCTTAGCTCGTTTATTTGAACAAAGGTTAGAATCAAAGGTATGTTAAAAAGTGATTAGCCATTTATGTAATTACACTTTTTGTTGACTTTAATAGTTTAAGTGGTCCTACAAATGCCATACATTTTAATACGAGGTAATTTAGCCTCTTATGGACAACAGCATCCTTGGAGAGTTTTAGTATCTGGCCTTAGAGGTAGAACTTCAAATTATGTCTTAGAAATCTATAATTTAGGAGCTTGTCTTAATTCAGTCATTTTTAGCTTGTGAAATCGAACAAATGAAAAGATTTTCTTGCGGAGGATATTGTGATGACTCCACTATTGTTTACCTTCAACATCCTTGTGTCATTTTAACAGCTCTTGAGGTAAAGAGATTTAAAGACTTATTAATTAGAGCTCTGTTTTGCATTATTTTAACACTAATCATCTATTATTCCCGCCTTGAATGTGTGGTTTAGTTAAACAAATAGCCTAATACACAAGCACATAATATGAATATGCACATGTGTTAGCTGCATACTTTTAAGTATTTTTCAAAAACCTATACTTAACAATTTTCAAATATATTTCGCCATTGTTTTAAATTTTTATGTAATATGCCTTGCGAAGAAGAACCTCAACTGAAATCCTGAAAATTGATATAATACATATAAATTAAATTAATTCAGTAGCTAATATGGATAAAACCTATATGTTATTGTGTTGTTGTATTAATATTGTTTGTTATAAGAATAATTTATCAATTCACATGTTACTTTTCATTTGTTCAAACACCCCTCTTTAACGAAATTTAATACAATTATTCTAAAAATAATTTATTTCAATTATCTTGATGTTGCACCTAAATTTTACCTGCAATTCTCTATGTGAAGAAGTACATATTATAATATAATAATTTACTGGCTCAATTTAAATTAATTCCTGATTTCTAATAGGTTTTGGGTTATAAAGTTGTTGCCAGTTCATCTACAGCTATAAAACAAGATTATAATGAGTACATGTGGACTATGACAAAAGAATTTTCTGAACCTGACCCAACTAAATGTGGAGAATCAAAGCACGAGTAGCGATAAGTCATTGCATATAAGTAAGAAATCTTTGAGTTTGGGAACTCTTAAGAATGGAGCCAAGTCTGACTCAACCTGCACCAGTAATATCATTACCAGTTGTTCCTTCAGATGACACTTTTTATTACATAGCCGTGAAAGGCTCCTTGCATGCTAGCGATTGTAATATATTTGGATTGTCCAAAGATGAACATCAGGCAATCTGCGATCGATTTCTTTGTTCATCAATGGAAGTAGTAAATGGATCTATAATTAAAGGACATTGTATTGCAGTGATTAATGCTTTAGCTGAATTAGGGTATCGTGTTGTTTCTACTACTGGTGAAGCTGAAGTCGTTTGGACATTGCAAAGAGAACTCTAGCTTGTGATTCTGCACAGTGTGTTTTGCATATTCTGTAAAGAATTAAAACTAATAATTTAAATAAAAATATCTAACCTTTATATATATATATTATTGTATTAATCCAGAAGTATTCTAAAGCCAGTACTAATAAAATGTCGCATAATCATGAAAATGGATGTTGCTACAAGCCAACAACCGCCGCACAATCATTGGATGAAATGGATTTTGAACGTGGTATATGGAATGCTGGTGAGTCAACTTTATATAAATATAATTATACGTGGCCCATTTTGACCTCAAAGTTTTTGAAATTTTAGGGTGAATGAATTATTCCAGCATATACAGTTTTCACATATTTCAAATGTTTAACTATGTGGATTATATTCAGACAAAACGCAAAATTTGAAACCATTTAATTTATGTTGACTTATTTAATTTCAATTTATAATATTGAAACATTTGTAGTTAAAAACATTAAGAAATTTATTTTTTAGCATTGTATAATGATTTGGATCGAGTAAAAGTGCTGTTAAGACATACCTCGCCAAACATAATAGATAAGTCAGGTTATACAGCACTGCATTACGCAGCTCGGAGTGGTCATTTACTTGTCTGCCAAATTCTTTTAAGTAATGGTGCTGATGTAGATGCTAAAACAAAAGCTGGAGGAGTGACACCTTTAATGAGGGCTGTTACAGCCGGTAAAAATAAATAATTAATATTATGCTTTGAAAAAATTCTTGTAATCAATTTTTAATACTATTATTGGAATATGTTAGACACAAATATTTAAATAGAAAAAGTCATTGTAGTCTTAGATTTTAAAAATTAATATTTTGAGAGGCTACTGATCGAATATTAAATAACTGAACATATTTGAGATATTTGAAGTTATTGCGGTAGTCTGGTACATGCAAATGTTAAATTGAAATAAATATCACTATTATACTTACTTCATTTAATAATGGATTTTTTAAAGAATGAGCTTCACAATTCTTTCATATCTATTTCATGTATAAATGTTACAAAAGCATATATTGTATATGGTTTTAACTAATTAATTTTTGTCTAATGGATTCCATTATAAAGAGCTTTCCATTATAAAAAGTTTTCATGTGAATATTAAATATTTCATAAGCAAAATTAATGAATTTAATAACATTACATTCAAAGGGCATGAAGACGTAGTTAAAATGTTAATTGACCATGGAGCAGATCTTTCAATTATGGACAATGATGGTAACAATTCTATTCATAGAGCTGTGCTGAGTGGCCAAATTTCTATTGCTACAATTTTGTTGCATAAAAGACCAGACCTCCAAAACATGAAAAATGGGAAAAATTTATCACTAACAGAGATTGCTCTTAATAAAGGAATAATTTTACCTTCTTGAAAAAAGAAAACGAGAAAATTAAGTTAAATCTATGTATAGAAAAGTACAAAATTATTCAACACAATTATTGTCTTATACATCTATTTGATATTTTTAATAACTTGTTCAACAGATATCCTATTTTTATTATAGATCTAGTTTTTAGTATCAACATTTCATGTAACAATGTGGGTGTTACTATTTACAATTTCAAAGTTTGACCAATGTAATGTAATTATAGACTTGTATGCTAATTTCATAAAAATAAACATTTAACGATATGTTTGTTTTATTAAATTTAATTATACAAAATAAGTATTTACCTGAAGCAAGTCAATTTAATTAGGACCCAAGATCATTCACTTGCTTTGAACTTTCTAAACTCTTCGAGAATTTTGTCTCCAAGAAGTTCAATAGTTGATTTAAAAATTGTTTTACAGAAACTACTTAAACACATTTGAAATTCTGTGTTATTACAGGTCACATGTGCATAAAGTTGTCTAGTGTTACTATGATACTTTATAGTTACAATTGCATGAGGAATATCTTTGGAAAAACCATGTGTTTCATGTATATCTCTTATAAAACGTAAATTTGACAATTGAAATTCATCACTATTATCACATGTGGTGTTTAGCATTGTAGCAAAATAAGTTTTAGAATTACCTGTAATCATCTCAGATTCATTCTTACCTAGACCTTTTTGAGTTTTAGTTATATTTGGTGTATCCATAGAACTATCTAGTCGAATCTGTGTTGTCACACAAGAACTAACAGAAACCGTGTCATCATCACTATCACTAATTGTAATACAATCAAAAGAGGTATTGAGGTGCATTATATTTTTAGGTTTATCATTGATCGTAGATAAAATGGCTTTGTCTTTTATAGGCTTATTCGAATAGTTGTTCTCTTTATCATTCTTTCCATTCGGTACTTCTAAGTATTGAACTTTTATTTGAGAAGTGAGTTTTGTTGATAAGCAATGAGAATAGTTTCCATAGTTTTTTCTCCATTGTAATGCTATTCTCTTTCTCTTCTTGCTGAATATTATTTTTCTAACACAGCTACTATAACCAACCAATTTTGTTCTTTTATAACATTTCTTTCTGGCATCTGAATAATTTTTGAAAAAGGTGTTTTAAATTTTTACCACAGCATTTATTCAAACTGTTATTTATATATCAATTAGAAACTTCGAAAATTACTAATTGTTGACATGCGGACATACTCAATAAACAAACAAAGTTAAGATATTAATAGCTTTAACATCAATAACTCTAATAATTATATAACTGGTTACAACCTCAATTATATACCTGGTTTCAGATTTCCTAACGCCTTGTTTTCAGCATAATCCAGATCAACCAAATTGGGATCTAAAATAATTCATTTCTTTAAATAAGTATTTATAAATGCCAGTCTGCAGAAAGTTCATGCATTATATGCTAAAACAAAATATAGAAGAAATGACAACCTTAGACATAAATAAATTTGAACAAATTCTTAAATTTAGGCATGTAAGTGAATTATACATGTTTCAATAAGTAATGTAGATTCCATGCAGTATAAAATTATTATGTAAATATCACTTGAAAATATATTTTTAACTTCCCGAAGGAGAAGTTTATGTTTTCATAAAAAAAATCCGAATTGCTAATTTTATGTTTTCTCGACGTTTCAAGCCATTCTGAATCGAATGAGACCAAATTTGGAAAAAGTATGTGTGTGTGTGTGTGTGTGTGTGAACAGATTTTTTGCCGTAAATCGACGTTTTCTCAAAAACTGCTGATCATCGTGCTGATTAGTTTTTGGTAGAGATCGGCCGGGCCGTTTTCTTGTAATAAAGTTTTTAAAAAAAACATTTCGACGATTTTTATGATTATTTTTTTGACGGTAGATACCATAGTCTTCTAGATCATACTAAAATATTACGGCCCTACGACAACTGGTTTAGCTTTAAAAATTCGTCAAAGTTTGCAAAAATTAGTATGGTCTTTTTGGCATTTGTCAAAATTAGAACTTTCATCGACGTTTGCTTAAAAACGCCTGAACAGATATTTAAAAAGCATTTGATGTATCTCGATGAGGATTATCGTTCCTCAGTTTCGTGCGACGATCGGCCAAGCCGTTTCTTTGTAATTTGGAAAAAAGTGTTAAACCTTTCGTCCACATTTAAGCTCATACTACCGAACCTATAATACCGAAAGATATTAGTTGGGAATGATACTGATTAGTTTTAGGTGAAAATAACAACTATTAAAAACAAAATTTAGGCCGGTTTTTATGGAACTTTTTTTGGCGATATATGTCATGGTCTTATAGATCTTACTGAATTATTACGGCCTTACGACAAGTAGTTTAATTTTAAAAATTCATCAAAGTTTGAGAAAATGAGTAGTTTTTTTGACGCTTGTTAAAATTAAAATTAGACGATTTAGTTGGTATAACGATAGTGTACTTGGTCTTGAACATAGTGAACCATTAAAGTCCTACGGAAACTGGTTCAATTATAATTATTGATTTTGGAAAATTTGCTTTTAGAAAATACTTAGAAGATAAATACGTAAAGTGTTTGTTCGTTTGTTTGCAATGATGTGTTATAAATCCATTCGAATACTTATAATCACTCATAGATTAATTTATTTTTTATCGGTTAAGGCAATTATTTACACATATCGGGAAGTTCATGTAACTTGCCTCAAGGCTAAATACCAAACCAACTAGTTTATATTATATTAATCATCTAATTCAGAAAATCATATTTATAACATGTTATACAAAATACATATATCTACAACTACATCAATGATATATAATTTAGATCAGAAGTGGTAAGTTTGGTTTCACATTTTCAATTTGATGTACACGGGGAAAAAGGTCATACTAAAACGAAGTAAAGCTGAGTATTAAAACGGAATAAAAAGGTAATGTCAAAATTAACAAAATGAACTTTACCACAATGGTAGTAAGAATAATTAGGAGCTCTGACTAGGTTCCTCAACATCATTCGTTTCCAAACAGATTTTCGTTTTTCTTCTACATCCTTTCTTTGTTTTAACATTAACTCCAAATCTTGTGTATCACGTAAACGATTCCTAAACAAAATTAAATATATCGGTAAAAATACAGAGATAACAATATCACTGTTTGGAATTACCTTAGATTTCGAAGCATATTTGCACTTGATGTAAATATTCACGTAATTCTTCTATTAAAAATAAACTGCAAACAAGTTTTTCATAGCTAAATATAATATAATAAACGCACAAATAATTTTAAAACTAGTCATATAATTAAAAACTTGGAATAACTAAAATATGGTTTAATAAATCAATTAAAACCAAACAGGTTATAACCGACACTCATATTACACAAATGACATTTATGCATTGGACAACATATTGTATGAACTATGAACCAGAACATAACCTTAAAGAATGTAGCCAATGTTGAAAACAAAAACGTTGTGATTCAAAATCAACTAACTTTTACCAACTAATTTTGGCTACTAACAATATGTTATTTACTTTTATAAAAACGAATATCAACTACGTGTAATCAATATTAATATGGCATTTAGCAACTATTAAAATTCTCATGAAGAAATTTTCAAATGCTTGTTGCAAATATTATATACTCTTCTTTTCGGTTTTCCTTTGCACTAATAACAAAACAACGGAATTTCGAATTGATATCTTTGAAACAAACAATGTAATCTGTAACCGTCTTCCTAAACAATATTAGATATGATATATTCATATTCTAATATTGACTGTCTTAATAAGTGTACATTACATAAACGTTCAATGAAAATATTAAACTAGTGGTGTATGGCATGCCTTAAGGCAAATTGCTGGAAATTTCCGTACCGTAATGAAATATTCGAGTTTTCAAATATACTATTACGAATACTGTAACTTTCATTATTTTTGCTATATCTGAGCAAATCAAATGTAAATCATAAATATATTACAAAAATATTTTATGGAAAATAAAAAAAAGATGTAATAATTTTTTATCCTCAAAAGCAATAGTTTTGTCAATACAAGCAGAAGGTTTTTTAGATCATTCAAATTTCAGTTTCAGTTTCAGCAGAAAGTTCACCCAAAAACTGCCACTATTGCACTGTACCTTCAAAATAGCGGGACCTGTCTTTGCCAAAAACTAATCACCTCTTTCCCAATCATTGCAAATTGAATGTTTTTTAGATCATTCAAAACCGATACTCCGTTCTCTCAAAAACTCGATTTGTATTCTCTGCACTCTTTGCTCCGTAACTCCGTAATGACTGGACCTGCCTTTGCTAAAACTAATCAGCACATCTCCCTATCAATAGGGATCGAATGTTTTTTAAACCATTCAAATCGGTTTGCGCCCGAAAATGTGGACGAAAAAATGCGGACATACAAAACAGACACACACACACATACATCCATTATTTTATGAGGTATGCCAAAATGTTCAGAAACTTTCAAAACGTGAAGATATGCAAAAATTTACATTTTTGATTTACAGCCTATTACTATGTCTACCCTACGGGAAGTTAATAAACATTTACAGTAAATGTTTATTAACTTAGTAAAATGATTTACTAAATTTTACTAAATAAAATTCACTTTTGCAGGATAAAGCCCGGCCGACTAATCAAACGGCCAAAAACTAATCAGCACGATTACTAACTGATCTTTATAAAACAGCTTTCGTTTTTCCACATCGGTTTAGGATTCCATACGAAAATTTTGACCAAAAAATTAGAACTTAAATGCTAATTAAGAAATGCAAAACTAATTTAGCTCGAGCCGTATCGAGTTTCATTAATTAAGTTTTTGAAATTGGTGCAGGCAGTTCAGAGAAAACATTGACGAAAGGTCCTGTTAAGCTCACATGTACGTACTCACAAGTTTTTGCTTTTTTTTTATTCAACAATATATTTACAACTATCTACATAGACATTAAGTAAATCTTTTGGCAATTATATATAAAAAATGACATCGATATATAAATAGTAAAAAATACACAGTTGCATTTTTCCTTTATAAGAAGTAATGTAATGTGACACGAGTAATTACAAGCTAATTAAATCACTAAATAGTTTTCTTTTGAGTCTTCGTGTTGTGTTTGTAGATAGCAGTACGTTGGCCAACTCGTTTGGGTGTTCTTCGAGTCTGTTTTTGTGGTTAACAGCAAATCTTTTAACTTCCTCGGCTACAGTGCGCATATGTGTGTCATCATGGATCAACCAGGTGGGAGTATATTTTGGGGCGCCTAGAGCAATCCTAAGAACTTTGTTCTGAAACCTTCGAATGATGTTAGCATTACTTTTAGATGTGGTGCCCCAAAGTGCTATGCCATATGTCCAAATCGGCTTAAGTACAACTTTGCATACCAATCGTTTATTGTGTACAGAAAGATGGGATCTCCTACCCATTAAACAATATAGTTCTCGCAACTTTTCCTCAAGCTGATGCCTTTTCTTTTTCATGTAAATTTTCCAATTCAGTTTGCGGTCCAGATGCATGCCCAGATACTTTACGTGTTCGACCTGAGGAACTTCTATTTCATTCACAGTTACAGGTGGACATGCCTCGTGTTTGAGTGTAAAAGTGATGTGGGATGATTTCTGGCCATTGATCTCTAGCCTCCACAGTTTGTACCATTGATCTAATTATGTTAAGTGACGTTGAAGTTTCTCTGAAGCAGTTGTGGAATTTTCATGTTTTGAAAGAATGCAGATAGCATCAGCAAATGAGGCCATGTCTGTGTCGGGTGATGTGGGAATCAGGGGCGTAACTACCGCCGTATCAGCCGTATCAAAAATACGGGGCTCCCGAGCCAGGGGAGCCCCCAACGAGCGCAAGCAGAAAACAAAACAACAATTTCCCAAAAAATTGAATAATTTTAACGTAGTTTGCATTTCCTGTTGTTATCCAGTGGTAATGAACTTAAATTGTAAGCTAACGCTTTAAAAGAATTTATTATTTCTGCTATAATATTTCTGCAATCTCAAGCAATCAATTCAATTAGTAAACTTTCGAGCATCCGGTAAGTTAATACTCTTGTCCTCAAATCTATAAAACTAATCCAGTTTATACATTCTTCGTCGAAAATTGCAATTTGGAATTTTTATAGTTATATTTATAACATTTTTATATTTGTTTTTGTTACTACTTAAATTTTTTGCACGACGCGTAAGTTTAATAGTTAGATTTTAATAAATATAATCAATTAAATGATTTTCAGATTTTTTTGTTTGCTGTTTCTAATTATTAATTTCATTTCTGAAACTTTACAACATGTCAGTAATGACTTACAAAAAATAGTATTTTATTAAGTAATCTTTTGGATAGACTGTGCGAATTAAGATATGAAAAATAATTAAATTAGTTTGCTAAAGAAGTCAAAATAATTTGCAAAAAGATGGTTTGCAATAACTATTTTAAAGAACAAAAGACAAAAAATAATGAAGCGTTATTATGACGAGTTATCAAATGTTATTATGATGAGTTATTCCTCCCAAGATGAAAGAATTTTAGACCCGAAATCTTATTTTAATGTATACTATTGCTGTTTGGATATATTAATTTCACCAACCAAACGAAGATTTCAAAACCTTTGCGACGTAAATAGTAACATTTGTTTTTTTTAAATAGTAACATTTGTTTTTTAAAAATCGAAAGCTAATAATTTATATCCGAGATGCATTTCTTCATCACAAATTGGCCATGAAATAGATATCGAGAATGCTTTTGTAGAGAAAACATCATAGACTTATACCACATTTAGTTTTAACTGAAGATACAATTCCTACTTACATAATATATTCCATGAAATATTTAGTGAAAGAGCTTATGAAGACTTTGTAAAGGATACTTCGATGATTTTTATTTCGAGTTTAATTTTAAATTTGCATTTCTCTTATCATTTATCAAATTGTATATTTTTCCATTTGCCATGAAAATGTTGATCAATATGTCATATGTACTTACATTATTTTATAAAAATTGTGAATTATTATTTATTACTTTGTGGATTTGCTAATGTTAAAATTGTGTACATATGCCGAAAAAATAAACATACCATATAAATGTGCTTTTTCTTTTATTTCCCGGATAGTATTTATATATATATATATATATATATATATATATATATATATATCTTATATATAAAAATGGAGCTCTCTTTCAAATGTCCGAATAAAACTCGAAAACGGCTGAATCGATTTGGCCAGTCTTAGTCTTGAAAAATTCGTGCCAATCCAGAGAATGTCCAAAAGGTGAGAAATTATTTCAAATCCGCGTAGAAACTTTACATTTATAATTTGAAAATTTTTGTAGAAGCGTAATTTAAATAGAACAATGGACGGTGGCAATTTCGTGAAATGTCAAACGCTTTTGACAGATGATGTTCAATTACGTTTAATAGGATGTTTTACGCGAATATTATTTATTTGTGATAAATTTGTAGTAAGTAGTTTTGTTTGTAGTTTTATTTATATACAAAAACGTTAGTAAACGGGCCCCAAGTGTTACTAGAGACTCAAGATATAAACTTTTTCGATATGTTAATATGAAAATGCATTTTTGGCATATTTTTCTCAAACACGGTGCTCTGAAAGATCTTATTTGTATAATTATATGCTCATTGGTATTTATAAAACATTTTCTAGGTTGTTATATTATTTTTTGTTTATGTTATTTAAATTCAGAACCTAAACTTGGTATCGATCAAATGGACCTTTTGTCGAATAACATTTTTCCAGTTATAATTTTCCAGAATTTATCGCAGAATAGATAGTAATATATGAAGGTCCGGGGTTAAAAAAGCCAACCACCGATTTGTCAAAAATCAGTAAAGTTAAGCATTGTTTAACAACAATATTTGAAAGTAGAGGAAAAAAGATTTATAGCCAGCTACAAGCTTGATTTGAAAACGGTAATCTTTTCCAGTTATAATTTTCCAGAATTTATCGCAGAATAGATAATAATATATGATGGTCCGGGGTTAAAAAGGCCAACCACCGATTTGTCAAAAATCAGTAAAGTTAAGCATTGTTTAACAACAATATTTGAAAGTACAGGAAAAAAGATTTATAGCCAGCTACAAGCTTGATTTGAAAACGGTAATCTTTGAAATGGGGGAGATAAACGGTAATCTTTGAGAATCCATAATAAAAGTATTTTCTTCCGTTGGTAGTTTTTAAGCATTAGTTAAAAATGTAATTATTTTGTAAAATACCTTTAAAACTATAATAAGGCTTTAAATCTTTTTGCCACCTGCCCGTTTCAAGTTTGC